TACTGTTCATTCCTCTATCTCTCTCTCTTGTTTTCAGCTTAATTTTCGGGGTGTAAATCCCAGATGGATTCTGATTCAACAAAAAAAAATATTAAAAAAAAGTCTTAAAAAAGGCCTTGCTATGACGTAGGCAAACCTTTAATTGACAGTTATCCAGGTATTTGCTAACTTCTATAAAGTTTCATATGAAAGCCAAATTCATCAGGAAATCTCTTGGGTGAAGTATAGAAGACTCTCTCTTGGGGACTCGACAAGGCGCTTCTTTAGATATCTTCAAGTTTTGGGTAACTTCAAATCTTCAACACAATTTTTAACTTTTTCAATCTTGATGAATAAAGTTGTTTTAAGACAAAAAACTTGTTTAAATAATTTATTGTATTTTTGGCTTGCCTGAAAATTAGTTTTTTATAGAGAGAGAAAGAGAAAGAGAGAGGGAGGGAGGGGAAGTTGTCTAATATAAAAGAGAAATTAAGGTTATAATTATACACAATCATGATAATGTTTTTATAGAGAGAGAGAGAGAGGGAGGAAGGGAAGTTGTCTAATATAAAAAAGAAATTAAGGTTATAATTATACACAATCATGATAAAATATGCAATAATGGCAATTGCGTGCAGCCATAAATTAAGGTTATTTGTATGAAATTATTGAGTGTTTTATAGATCATTTTGTATTTGCATTGATTCTGCTTATTGCCATACAGATTGACCTGACCCACATAGGGAGTACAATAATTGTGGTATCTTGCTTTTCTAGCTAGATAACTTGAAAAACACTTCATATTTCCATGCTGGCTGAAATTGGAAGTTGTTTTGGAGATTGAAATTGTAACTGCAGAACATATTAGAGAAATATTGTAGAGCTAACAATTGGGAAATATTTTTAATTATTAAACAGTTATGTGGTAGTTATTCATTCTAAAATTTTTTATGATATTTCAGATTTTAATAACTTTAAATTATTGTTTGAATTTGAATTGTAAGTTTTTTCTAGTTTGTATCCAAAGTGACTAATCATTACAAAAACTAAAGTTTGTACTTCAAATTATGATCTCTGATATAATTTTTGAATAAATCTCATCATAAAGTTGTACTAGTAAATCCAAGAATCTAAAAATTCTAGCACCAGAAACCCCTCGTATAAATCCTTCAATGCAAAAAGTTTCATGATGCAGATCCAATGAGAAAATGCTGAAAGAGACTTCTAACGCAGTTGTTCAGAAAAATAATTTCATCAGAGCAAATAAGATCAAGTGTGAGGAATAAAATGGATGAAGAAGAAACACTGCTTTTTACAGCAATAATAGAAATACAACAAATAAAAAAGCATGTTCAACAGAAAAAAGCTTTGGACAAATTTCTCAATGAATGAAATAAATGTGCAGAAAGCAGTAGATATTTACCTTAAAATCAACCGCTAAATCAAACAAAGTTGCATTTCATTCACATAAAAGCTTATAGTTTCATTTCGATATGCACAGGAGGAATTTATTGAATATTCCCCATGAGAAAAATTTATTCAGAGAATCTGCAGCTTCTTCAGGTGCTCAAGAAGAGAACTAGCCTTGCGCTTCGCCCTCTCTGTGCCACTATTCACAACCTCTGTTAAAGGTATAACAGCACCAAGCCTGCCTATATAAGCTAAATTCTCAGAGTCCTTCTTACATAGAGCAAGCAGTATAGCTGTTGCATTCTCCTTGATGCGTGGCTGCCCAGTTCTCAACAGGTCTATTAGAAGTGGGATTGTATTAGCTTTAGCTATCGCTGCCTTCCCTTCCTGGTGACTTACAAGAACAGACAAAATGGTCAGCACCTCATCCAGCATTCCACAGGTCATCGAATCCTTAAGTATCTTAATCAAAGGTCTCAGAATTCCAGCTCTCACAGCTCGTAATTTGTTTCCCTGATAAATACACAAGTTAAAAAGAGCTGTTGCAGCATCCTTCTTCCCCCTCGGGCTTCCGCTCTCAAGCAATTCTACCAGTGCTTCAATGGCACCTGGTGCCCCACCAATAGTTATTTTGTTCTCATCAATAAGTGACAAACTAAAGATAGCAGCAGCTGCATTTTCTCTTGCTTCCATGCTTCCACTTTTAAGAACTTGAATAATAGGAGCTATTGCTCCAGCTAGCATTATTACTTCTTTGTTATGATCATATATAGAAAGGTTGAGGAGGGATGTCACTGCATGCTCCTGTGTTTTCTGGTCATCCAGCCATAGGAGACCAACAAGAGCTGGGATGGCTCCAGCTTCTGCTATAAGAATCCTATTGTCTGTGCTTCTTTTCGCCAGTAATCTGATTTCAGCAGCAGCTGATCTCTGCTCTTCCATTGATCTGCTGGTAAGTTTTGCAATGAGGGAATTAATCAGGCTTTTATCACCAGTGATTTCGTGAAATGTTCCGTTGCTTCTCATACGTCCGCCCGTTGATCTGTGCGGCTGCTCAAAGCTATTAGCTTCACACCACTGCATGATTAGACTTCGTAACACGTAGTTTGGAGTTAGTGTAAGGTTTTGGAGCTTTTGCTGAGTCTTGGGACATGTTCTATTGCCACAGTCTATCCATCTCTGAATGAAGGAACGCTCATAAGTCTGCAAGTCCAACAAAAGATGAAATTTTTGAATTACCACGTGGAAAAAGCTGGTTGATTTCAATATTAAAAGGTAAGATCTCTAACATACCTGTCCTGTGGAAACGATAACAGGATCTTTCATAAGTTCAAGAGATATAGGGCAACGGAAGTCTTCTGGAATCACCGGAGAATCACGTCTTTCATCTTCTACTGTGCTGCTTCCTAATTTACTTGACTTGGTTTCAGCTTTCTCAATATTAGGAAGATCAGCATGGCTGGTCCTTTTAAGTCCATCCATCAAATTGAGTGTCATCCTCGCAGCATCAAAATCAGATTTTCCATTGACTTCTGCAAGAAGTATCACCATGTCCCTAAGTCCATGATCAACAATGCCATTTTTATCGTCCTGTGGTGCTTCAAACTTAAACGAATTGTGCCGTTTAAATTCTCCAAAAAGTGCGGGGGAGAGCATATTGTGAATCTCTTTAAAAACAATCAGATTCTCCGCTCCATCCTTCATGGTCTCCCTCCTCAGTTGTGCACGCACCAGTTCAACCTGGAAGCATAAGGCATCCAACTCAGGCAACATAAAATGATAAAATTACTGAAATAACAGAAGCAACTATAAGATAGTGCAACCATTTTGAGTTTATACCTCCTCCTGAACTTCATCAGATATTTCAAAATGCTCGTAAGAAATATTTCCTAGTACTTTCTCCAGCTGCCATGTCACATACTGGTATTGGATCACCATGTTCTTGGCCGCCAAATCCTTGATCACATAAATTTATTTTGATTAATAACATTCAACAGTGAGGGGTTGGAAATCAAATCAGTCGCGGTAGTCAGGTGAGAGATTAATGAGATTGCAAGAGGCGAAAATGTCTTGAATGAATCCTAAATCCACAAACAACAGAAAATAATCTAAACTAAGTTTAACTAAAGATGAAACAGTTTATCAACTAGGAATGATGATGGCCAAAAAAAAAAAAAAAAAAAAAAATTTAAAAAAAAAAACATTCTGAGGGAAATTTCAATAAACATGGTATCACAGAAAGCATTGACAAGCAATTTCCACCAACAGAAGCAACTTTAAATTATAATTTTCTGCTAAAACAAATTAAAGGTTTTATCTTTAAACCCAATGGATCATAAGAGAAATTCAATAAACATGGCATCACAGATAGCATTGACAAGCAATTTCCACCAACAGAAGTAACTTTAAATTATAATTTTCTGCTAAAACAAACTAAAGGTTTTATCTTTAAACCCAATGGATCATAAGAGCTCTCACCACATATCCCAAATCGAAACTATAACGACAGAGTCATATCATCAAACACCTAATCCGCACAAGCTTGAAACAATCACCAAGAAAATCAAACACAGGACTCACCGCATTTGAACTCTCGCCGGAACTCTTCCGGCTGCCAATCAACAAAAACCTCTTTACCGCCTCAAGGGCACGCGCCATATCAGCCAAACAAGACCAGGACGAGTTCACCGCCGACGAAGTCGACACGCCCGGCGACTTGCCACCACTCCTCGTAACAAAGCCTCGAATTTCCTCAAGGAGATGGATAAGTAGCGACACCTTGCGCGCCAGCCGGATGCTTTCCGCAGCCACAGCGTCGCCCATTGCAGCGAGCTCGCGCGCGAGGCTTAGCAGCCCCTCGGCCGCCACCGCGGCCTCCGGTGTGGACGCCATTGGGCAAAACTACTAACTTCAATTGCAAAAAAATAAGAGATTGAGCCTGCCCACACCTCATAGATATAAAAATCAGCCGGCTTCACGGCTGGAACTAGGTAAAGGTAAGATTTTGACCGGAGGAGATGTAGGAGAAGGACAGATAAAAAAAACAGAGGAATACAGATGGCTTCGAGGCTGCACGACTCGCTCTGAAATTTGAAGGCGCGACGGCGAGAGAAATAGTCCACGGATTCTTTCCAATCTGATAAGAGGAATATTGGACGAATGCTGGAGCGGGGGAAGCGCCTGTGCGAGTATCCCGATTCGAGACGGGCACGACGTGAGCGGGGAGATGACTGCCGATCCGCTGCGCGGTACGAACAGGCAATTGTAAAGGAAGCCACTCGAATTTTATGCTTTA